CGGCACCGCTCGCGAGTGGAGCTGCCGCCTGGTCACCCTGCTGCACGGGCTGCTCGTCACCTGCCTCTCGGGGTACACCGCGCTCCTGGAGGGGCCCTGGCCTCTCACCCATGCAGGTATGGTTGGAGTCTTCCACGTATCCCTGTCGGGCAGCCTGGACAGCTCTGGTTTCAGATGGAGTGGGGGCTGGTTGCTTTTGCTGTCTGGTCTCTTATGTGTAGGTTTTGGGGGCTTGGCTGGAGCAGGATTGTTTTTGAACTCCCCTGCTTCTTCTCCAGCCCTTACCACTTCTTACAGTTAAACTTTGATTTTTTGGTGGTGTTTGGGTGTGTGCTTGTTTGCATTGGCTTGTTTTATCCGTGTACAACCTGAAAGTTTTCAGGTTGGCAGCCTGAGTTTGTTGCAGTTGGTGTTGAGAACATCCTGGGTGCCCTTTGCGTCTTTAAGGGTGTAAATAACTCCTGGCATCTGGCTGTGGGGTTTTGCCTGCTGGTTTTTATCATTAAATCTTAACTAGTTCTGCTGATAGGGGGGTCAAGTTTTCCAGCCCTGCTTTCTAAAAGGATGGAGAGGCAAAGAGGAACAGTAGTGTAGCAGGATGGGGTGGCCTGCCTGGGGCTGCTGGGCAGACTGGTGTGTGAAGGGAGAGCAGGAACAGACACCCAAGGCTCCAGTGTGGCACTTGCCCAGTAGGTAAGGCTGGAAACTATGGGAGAAAGAGACCTACTCACAAACTGTGCTGCTCCATATTGCAGAATAACGTCAAAATAAGACCCCAGGCTTATGTACATCCTTCATTTCAGGTTCACCAAACACACCTCTTCAGATCCACGTGCTGTGCCTGACCTTGGGTTACTTCATTTTTGACCTGGGCTGGTGCCTGTATTTCAAGACAGAGGGGTGCCTGATGCTGCTCCATCACATGCTGAGCATCTGTGGCATGATGGTGGTGCTGGGGCTGGGGAAGTCTGCTACAGAAGTCAATGCTGTTGTGTTTGTGAGTGAAATCACCAACCCACTGCTCCAGACTCGCTGGTTTCTGAGGGAAATGGGATGTTACCACACTGTGCTGGGAGAGGTAGTGGATTTCCTCTTTGTCTTCCTCTTCCTGGTGCTGCGAATTGGAGGAGGAGCTTTCATCATGCAGGCCATGGTGACATCCCCTGAACCCATCTGGCTTCTCAAGGCTGGGGGCCTGGCCATGTACATTGTGTCTTTGGGGTTCATGGCTAAAATCTGCTGCTTTGTCAGGAGGAAAATGTGGAAAAAATACAATTCCTGGGCAAGCCTGAGGAGTATGAATGCACCTGTGAAAACTAATGGGCACTTGACAGCTCTTTGATGGGTTGTGGAGGACAATCCCTTGGCCAGTGTGCTGGCTATTGAATCCTATTTCTGTGAAAATAACCCCTAAAATGGATGTTGGAATTGACTTTCTGGCACTGGTCTGCTGCCCCTGGAGGAGGTGAATCAACACTAGGAGTATGGGAAAGCTGGCAGAGTGGAATTCTGAAGAACCTGGCATGGCTACTGAGCTCTGATTCCCTGGCTTCACCAGCAATGGTACAGTCTCAAGGAGGCTGGCAATGCCAGACCTGCTCAGTAAGCAACCAATAATTGCCCTGTCAGCAAGCTCCATAATCATTTTGGAGGTAGACTTATTTCAAAGTGTTGAGCCAGAAAATCAAACATGAACATTCCCATCTTCCTGCCAGTGGGACTGGGTAGGGGTGTGACCTAGCAAAGATTTACCAAGCCTCAATCTCCCTTAATCCTGGTCTTGGACAATGAAGTCCTTGGGTGCAAACCTCTGAACAAGATTCAGGTGAAGTGATGGTACTTCAGGTGATGCAATGTTTTACCTCATTGTTTTTAATGATACATTTCTCTTTTAATACTTGCATTCAAGCAGATACTAATCTTGGAGCAGTGTGACTTTACCAGGATTGACTCAGGCCCTGGCAAGCAAGTCAGGAATTAGTCTTGTGCCAAGAAACTCCACAAGCAGGTGCTCACCTAGCCTTGGGTTGCTTTAAGGAAAAAAAGAAATGAGGCATTTTGTGGGTGACAGATGCTCTTTCTCTTCTGGGATTGGTTCATTTACAAGCCACCTAAGCTGAGTGCATGGCTAATGAGTCTAATAATTGACTGTATTTTAGGGGTCACAGTAATGTTTAGGCAGATCTCAGTGTAACATCCGCTCCATACCAGCAGGTCTCAGAGGATCAACCAGTTCTCTTGTTTTCTTTACCTCACAGAACTGTGTTCTGACATTCCTCCCTGGGCTTTTAATGTGAATTTCCCTCTAAGGCTGCAGTTCAGATTTATTCTCCCACAACAGCCTTGCTTATGGCTGAGAAACAAATGGCCCCATGTTGCCCTCAGGCTTAGCAAGGTTGGTTGCCTTTCCTTCCTGCTTTCAAAGACCTTGTTTAGAAGGGCTTCTTCATGGAGCTGAAGAGTCTGGGTGGCTCTTGCTCAAGTGAGGTGGTAGCCCTGCCACAAAGATGAAGGAGGGGAGCAGAGGGAGTACAGCTGCTGGGGAGTTGCAGTCCTGCCAGCTCCCCATGTCTCTTATCTCCACTCACTTTGGCACTGTGCAGTGCAGATATCCCCCTTGGCTGAGGGGCACAACAAGGTGTCTGGAGAGATTAAAAATGACATGGAATAACCTCATTTTTTGCTGGGCCCTCAGGATGCATTGCAGCTGTGAATCCAGGCAAGTTAGCAGGACAATATGTTTAGAAAACACAGGAACCTTGCACTCCTGACACTTTTCCAGCTTGACTCTAGGGGCCAGAGTCACTGGGCTCTTCTGAAAACTCACATGAGTGATGAGATTTCTAATAAAGTTGTGTTCTCTTTTTAAAAAAGAAGCAATTGCTGTAATGTTCTTTTGTTATGGCTCTTGAGGAGGCAACTGAAGTTAATGCTGAGGAAAAGAAGCTTGAGGGTAGCCTATGTCTAAGGCAAGTAGTAGTTGGTAAAGCTCTGGTTTATTCCCTTCAGGAAGCAGTGAGACAGTGGGGAAACATGCACAGACCAAGCCATGTGCTCTGGAGCTCAGGTTTGAGGTATGAAGCTCAGATGAAGGGCAGCTGAAGCTCAGATTATTGACTAAAGAACCCAAACCTGCCTTGCCAATGACTCACATTCTGTATCCCAAGGAATTTAAGAATGGGCCATAAAACTCAGGTGTTTGCCCATGATGGATGGAAGGTCGTGGGGTGACTTAATTCTGCCCATGGTCTGCATCCCAGGTTGCCTTTTATTCTTTTCTCTGTAGCACAAATGCCTCTTTTGCTGCATTTCATCCCCAGGTTGGGGTTGCAAGGTGGTGGCAAAGTGTCCTCAAGTGGCCTTGCACCACATCTCATCTAAGGGTAGTTTTAGTGGTAGTTTTAGTGGTAAACATCCTGGTGTGATGCTAGAAAAGCATCTGGCTCCACCCTCAGTGTCCTGTTGGATTTCTTATTTGCTAACATTTCAAATAACGTCATTTTTAATTGAGGTGTCTGATTTTTATCAAACATCCTTGAGGGTTTATACAGCCACAAAAGGGCAGCATCACTCTCAGGCTATCCCTGAGGAGCCCTGCTGGATTCTTGTATATTTCCAGTATATTGCCAGCTTTTTTTTTCTTTTTGGACAAGTAGGTCCCCAGTATTTTCAAGCTTACGTGTTCTGTGACCCTTCTGTGTTTTGAGTTCCCCTTAGACAGACAAAGAAGGCAAGAAGAAAGCATGTTCTGCTGAGGGAGGTTTAGCTGCACTCAGATGAGCAGCAGGGTGCAATAGCTGTTAGCAGAGGTTCTGTGCTGAGCTGTTTTGCTGAGCACCATTCAGCTGAGGGCAAACTGAGCCAGGGCAACTGAGCCTGCCTATTTACATGGCTGACTCTGCACAAGCAAACAAGAAAATTTAGTGTATAAGCTGCACCTAACTTCTGGTACAATCCACTGGGAAATGATGAACCTTGCATCTCACCAGATGCTGGTTTTGCCCATTTTATGATCTTGAACCAAACCAAAAACCAGCAAAAACACAAACCACTGAAACTCCTCTATATTCTACCTTGGGCATTAAATGGTCCTTGTCTTGTTGAGGCTTTGAGTGCTCTTTTTGTGACCACCTCAGTTCTTCTGGGCTGCTCTGCTTCTGTGCTATGAGTCAACATCTGCCCTAGAGTGGTTTTTTGTGGCAGTCACCAAGGTTTTTTAACCTAAACTAAATATTAGAACAGCTCCATCTCAGGTGTTCTTGAGGCTATTGGAGAGGACTTGGTGCCTGGTCCAGCTCAGGTGGAGGAAAGCAGGATGAGACCTGTGATTTGTCAGAGAATCAAATGCACTAAAAGTGCTAGTGAGGGTGTTGTGCTGAAATGGCTGAAGGGTGAGTGTCTTGTAGCAACAGGAACACGTGAATGGCCCCAACTGGATAAGTTAGATAAACTGGAGAGATACTCAGCTGAAAACAGGTGTATTACAAGTGGTGTAGGAGGCTGAACAAGCTAATCCCCACCATCTGCATTTCAAAAGGTGAAATGTGACATGATGAAGGAAAAAAAACCCAACCCACAAGCTATTTCTGGGTGTGAGAGTTTGTTTTGTTTGCAACTTACAAAAGGAGTTGAGTGTGTTGGATGGAGGAGCATTTTCCTGACCTAATTCAGGTGTCCTGGATTTTGTTATTCTGTGTATATGGACAAGGGGGAGAGAGAAAAGGAACAGTTTAGCACTGGGTGAGAAGAATCATGGAATGGTTTGGGTTAGAAGGGATCTTCAAGATCATCCAGATCCAACCCCCTGCATGGGCAGGGACACCTCCCACCAGCCCAGGCTGCTCCAAGCCCCATCCAACCTGCCCTTCAACACTGCCAGGGATGGGGCAGCCACAGCTTCCCTGGGCAACCTGGGCCAGGCTCTCACCACCCTCACACTCCACAATTCCCTCCTCATGTCTCACCTAAACCTCTGCAGAAGATGAGCCTGGATCAGAGGGGATGTCCAGGGCAGGGCTCCCCAGCTGCCTCCTCCGGGCTGTGGCAGCAGGATCCTGCTGCTGTCCTGCTGCAGTTCAGCAGCTTCTGTACCAGAGTCACTTCACGTCGGGCACTGCCGGGGTGTGTGTGAAACGAGCTCACGTCTGCCTGCAGCTCTTACCTCTGGAATACGTGGGGTGATTGGAGCAGGTCGTGGGACCAAGTTCCCGTCCCCGCAGGATGCTGAGGTGCTCTGTGTGTGGGAACACGAGCTGGGAGCTACAACTTGCTGGGCACTGCAGGCGGGGAGGGCTTGGGTTCAGAGCGCCCTGAGAGCCCGAGCAGCAGGGACCGGCCCCCGGGATGGGGGAGCCCGCAACGGCTCGGCCGGGCTTGGGAGGGATGCGCTGCGGGGCCGGCGGGGATTGCTGGGGCTCTCCCCGCATCCCTTCCCTGTTCTCCCCGCATCCCTTCCCTGTTCTCCCCGCATCCCTTCCCTGTTCTCCCCGCATCCCTTCCCTGCGCTCCCTTCCCGCACCTCATCCCGCATCTCTTCCCGCATCCTTTCCCTGCTCTCCCCGCATCCCTTCCCTGTTCTCCCTTTCCCGGCATCCCGTCCCTTCCCGCACTCCATCCTGCATCCCCCTTTCCCTCACCCCTTCCCTTCCCCCATCCCAGCCCCTTCCCGCACCTCCATCCCG